AGGCCAAAAAGATTGATTGAACACTTAAAGCTGTAGAAATGCCAAGAAAGGAAAGGGGTTTAAAAGCTACTAATATCCGTTTCGTTCTCTCGTTCGCTCTGTGCTTATTTTGAGATCATCTCAATGCTTTGCTCTTCTGAGATTTCATTTGTTTTTTTCTATTCTGGTACCCCGGTTGTGTTTTTTTTTCTCACCCAGTCTTTGCTTACGCCCTCCATCTCAGGTGCGCTAATAGTGGTATATTTTTATCAAAGAGAGCTCGAGTCACATTTGACCTTGGTTGAATTTGGAAATTTTGGGGGAAAATAATACACTTTCAATAACTGCTCAGTGGCATTAGATTACACACACTAACCCTTGAAATTATCAAACGTATAAACGGCTGGGTCAGTTGGCATTTCTGTGTGGAGTTTGCATGTTCTCCTCATGTTCATGTGGGTTTCCTTTGGGTGCTGCGGTTTTCCCCTCAAGTCCAAGGAGTGTATGGATGTTTCCCAGTGATGCGTTGTGGCTGAAAGGGGATCCGCTGCATAAAAAATATGCTGGATAAGTTGCCGGTTCATTCTGCTTTGGCGACCCCTGATTAATAAAGTGACTAAGCAGAAAAGAAAATAAATGAATAAATAAATATACATTGAGTTATAGTTGCAGTAAAATTCATTCATTCTTTGTATCACTGAGTTTTCTTTTTTAACACCAGAATCGTTGAAGGTCACTGTATTCCTAAAATCGCCAGTGCGGTAAATTTTACCCAGCACAAATTTTGTGATTTTGTTTAAAAAATATATATACATACTAATTCACTGTTTTTGCCAGTTAACAAAAGGTGTCTAGACTCATGAAATGATTATTTCAGGATGACAATATTATTTTAGCAGTAGGTCATGAGTAGGGTAAAATATCTCAATTTAAGCCAGCATAACCTGCATAACTTATTTCTCCAGACTCTCCATCGTTCATTGCAGTTTGTGTTTTTAATAGCTCTACATATCGCCTTCTTTTAATCATTGTGGCTTTATTTATTTTTATAACCACTAATTGAGTGAGTAAAACTGAAAGTAAAAGTCATTGGTGAGTAATTTCAAACATAAGCAGTGCACATGAATACAAGCTTTTTTTATAGTTGGTAAATTTGACCCATGCTGGAGCTTATAGGTATAAATGTCCCACTTTTTAATCTAGTTTTATCTAAACCATTTTTAAAATCTGACAATTGTAGAAAAGGCAGTTTTAGTAAAAATCAATGATAGGAGGCTTGAATGTTTTATTGAAGGTCTGTTATGTACATTTGAAGAAGAGTATAGGTAAAACCCTTTTGTTTTTAAAACACTGTTTGAGGTATTTTTGCTTTGTCTGTTTATGCTTACCAACTGTAATTTCAAATTAATTAACAAACATACCAGACTAGAGTAATTTATCAAAAGCCAACTGGAGTCATTATACTCAATAGTACATCTTATGCAGTCATAAATTCAGATCTTTATGTGCTTACAATACTTTTTACAAGTAGATTTAGAGTATTTGCTTTGCCATGTTAAGTCTAGGCAACTTTAAAAGTCATTCACAAAACTCAATTCTGCATGCTTTCCCATTTACAAAATATATATTTAGTTTATTTGATTTATTTATTTAATTTATTTGTTTGTTTGTTGGGCGACACGGTCCACAATTGGCTTCACTGCAAGAAGGTTGCTGGTTCGAGTCCTGGCTGAGTAAGTTGGCATTTCTGTGTGGAGTTTGCATGTTCTCCATGTGCTCCGGTTTCCTCCACAGTCCAGTTGAATAAGCTAAATTGACAGTAGTGTATGAGTGTGTGTGTGTGTGTGTGTGTGTGTGTGAATAAGTGTGCCATGGATATTTCCCTTTACTGGGTTGCAGCTGGAAGGGTATCCCCTGTGTAAAACATATGCTGGATAAGTTGGTGATTCATTCCGCTGTGGCAACCCCTGATAAATAAAGGGACTAATCCAAAGGAAAATGAATAAATTAATGTTTGTTTGTTATTGTTATGGAACTAGGCACTGAACAATATAACAAAAGCCATTTATCCAGAGTATATTTAGCATTAACTGTAGCTATTCTTTCATCCGCATAATTGTATGCACATTTTGGAATATCACATTATAAAATGCTTAAAGATGTATAGTTTGTAAATAATGTAAAGTTAAACCTGGCTTTTTGTCTCCCTGCACTTGGAGCGTGGTAGGGAGATTGGTGCCTTTGTTTATTATTTTCGTTTTTTCCTGTATTGTAGAGAGGTAAGTTTTCAGTATTTTGTATTCCAGGGAAGTTTTCTCTAATTTAGTTCGTTTTATTTATTGTAATTTATTTTGGCTTTGACCACTCCCAGTGTTATTTTGCTCCTTATATTCTGTAAATAAATACCACAATACCTTCTGTAGACTTTTCTATCTAAGATCTCTTAACCAAAGTCTGTCATCCAAGTGGTTCAGTGTCATTGCATCCCAAAACTGTTTTGAGCAACTGCGCTCCCAACAGAGCGGTATAACACATTTCATCCCTTTTGTCTTTGTCTTATGAGATACAAATCATTTATTATATAAGAAAAAGGCTCAGAGTTGCTTCTACCACAGCCACAACATTTTTAAAGTTTTCCTTTTGATATTTGCCACCAGTTTATCAGGTAGTGACGATTTTGTTTACTTTTACTCGTTGGGTGGAAACAGTGCTTTATTCACATATTGTTTTATGCAATATTCCATGCTTGTGCTCAAAATATAATTTAAATCTTCGGATGGAAACATAGCCAGTGACTTCATTTACATTGCAAATGGCATACATCAGGGGTGTCCAAACTTGGTCCTGGAGGGCCGTTATCCTGCATAGTTTAGCTCCAACTTCCTTCAACACACCTCCTTGGAAGTTTCTAGTATATCTAAAAAGAGCTTGATTAGCTGTTTTAGGTGTGTTTAATTGGGAATGGAAATAAAATATGCAGAACACTGGCCCTTCAGGACCGAATTTGGACACCCCTGGCATACATGACAATCCAAACAACGATGTAAATGATGAAATACAGAACTGCATGTACGCAGACATGTGGTGTTTCATTAAACAAGGTGAAATTGCCAAATGGCCAAGCACAATATTATTATTTTATTTACAGATTTTTTTTTTTTTTACAGATTTGTGTTTTTTTAATAACAAATCTGAAGATATTTGAATTAACAGATGACAAAGGAAAACATAATTCTGGTGTAAAATGACTCCTGTAGTAGCAGAGTTGGATTGACTTTGCTATGAAAATGGTCAATTGGTTGATTTTCTATTTGTATTGCTATAACAGTACAAGCAATGTATCTATCCATGCCTTTCATTTTCCTTTTTGCTGTATTCCATTCATTTCCATCCATCCAGCATAATCATCTCCTGTAGACTGAGCTTTGCCTTTTTTCCTCCTAATTCACCCCCTCTCTCTGGATCTCTTGCCAGTGTTGGCTCGGTGCTTTCTCATCCTGCATAATATTGCTTCTCAGCCGATAAAACAGCGAGTACAAATCCTGCTCCAGAATCGATGGGCACAGTTATTCCTGTGACCCCTGCCAACCATCTGGCCAGCAGCCACACAGTCGCTCAGCAGCCCTGACTGTACCTGCCCCTCCGGGGGCCTGACAGAGCCTGCCTGCTGGACCAGACACTGTGTGTCCAGGTGGATGAGTGTGTGTGCTCCGGTCACACGCTTCCAAAATACTCGCGTGAGGTTTGGAACAGCTTTATTTTCCACCAGGCCACCCGTGAATTGAAACTACCGGCTTCTTGTGAAATCAAGCTTTTAAAGTGGGCTTTAAAAAGAGAGACTGGAATGTTTTAGAAGGATGTTGGAGCACTGAAGTGTGATATAAAACATGAATAAATAAATCTGTTTTAGCTAATATTAGCAGGGCATTAAGTTATATTTAAACTTATTTTGAAGTTTATTTATACAACAGTAGTTTGAAGCCTTGTAAACTAAAATGTTCTAAATGCAAATGAACATTTACAAATATTATTATCATCCAATCATCTTGTGCTTCCCTTTTTTAAGTTAACACTTTCACTTTTTCATGGTCTCTAGACATTTTGTTAAATAACCAAGTAACTCTGCAACTACATGTACACTAGCAGTCAACTAGTCATGCAGAAGTCTCTAATTTAAAATGATTAAAGTGAAATAATCATATGACTGTTTATAAAAATTAGCTTGTTTTGTTTTTAAAATGACATCAGCAAGCAAGTCACCAATATTATTTACAGTTTTATGTCTCACTCATTGTTTTCCTTTTGGCCCTTTTACACATTTCTAGATTGTACAAAGACTCTGACCTCCCATTTAAAAATCTTCAAACCTAATTTTCATTTTGAAAATATCACGTTACAGCCAAACAACCTAAAACCATAGATTTGTAAATGTTTTGTGATATGTTCCTGCCAGTTTTCTTGGACTGTAATAATCTTGTTTCCGGCTGTTTTGGGAATGTGGGCAGTGTGTTTGGCAGGCTGTATTGCTGCCCCCTGTAGCTTCATTCACATTCAGATCACATAATTCTTATTCTTTGCTGGGAGCTCATCAAAAATCCCCCAAATAAAGCAGCGCTAAAACATCACAATTAAGCTGTATGAAATATGTAGGTCAGTTCCATGCTTAATTATTAGTCTTCTACATTACATCATGTCTTTAAAGAAGGACTTGCTTGTTCCCATTTCATACTGTGCTTACATAAATTGTGAAATTTATTTTTATTAATTGTTTTTATTTCTGAAACCTACTGTTATTTTAACAGTGTCTTATTATTTATTTATTTATTTATTTATTTATTGTGATGTATTTGCATTTATTACATTTTATTCAAAGCAGATAACTCAAAGTTGTGCTATACTATAGACCTGTACTTGCTTGTATCTTATCTAAGTGTTCTGTGTTGCTTGTTTCTTTGACGATTCCACATCTCCCTTGTTTTTTAAAAATGTCTTAATGATTCAAATCTCTTCTTTTTTTTCAGTGCAACAATGATTATGTTCCTGTGTGTGGCTCCAACAATGAAAACTACGAAAATGAGTGTTTTCTGCGGAGAGACGCCTGCAAACAGCAGACTGAGATCCTGGTTGTGTCTGAAGGATCCTGTCCAGCCGGTATGTGCATTCGTGTATCCCATGAGTCTGTGTTGGTTAATCCACAGCCTAAGCATTTACTCATAAAATGTGAGAATGCAGTTACTTTATCAGGCCAAAAAACTTCAGTCAGACAAAACCTATTAAAGCTTAAACAGGCTAGAACCAGGTATTACTGCTCTGTGTAATGCATTTGATGCATTTTAAAACATAGCATAAAATGCTTTTAACCCTTTTGTCGTGTTGTTTTGTGTATTGTGAGCAGTGGTAAGAAATAACAAATTGCAAATACCCATGTCAAGGGGTAGGGGTGTCCCAATTCTCTTTAGCTTCAAGGCGTAGGGCTAAGGGGAAGGGGTAAATACCCCTTCAAATTAAGATTTTTCAGCTTCACGCTTGAAACCAAAGAGGTACGAAAATTTCCCAGAATACACCAGCCACAACGGCAGGATTGCTGCACCCGGAAGTAAGGAGATCCACAAATTAGTATTTTTTTGTTATTATTACAAATTTTTTGCAGCAAACAAACATAATATATTAATTATATTATTATAATACAAACTTAATATATTCATAACCGCTTTCGTGTTTTACCGTCATGCTTTAAAATAACAAATACGCTACAATACAAAACGCTAGATTTCGCGATTTATAATCCATAATCATAACTCCTGTATAGCAGTCCCACAATATTCTGACACTCGATGACACTCGAATACCTTGTCAGAAATGTTTAGTGGCTGGGAATTAACTTTTTACAGTGTCTGCTATAATGTTAATGTTGTTTTTGGTGTGTTTACATTGATGAATATGGTCACTGGGTAAATGCAGATTGTTATGATAACATAATATATGCCTTCAGTGTATATATCGGTTGTAAGGGCCAAGTGGAAGGGGTAGAGGTACAAAAATAGAATTGGGATTTGGCTTAAATGTGTACTTTTATTTGTAATACTTTCCTTCGACCTGCAGTCACTACTTTATTTTTTTCTTTTCTATGGTGCTTGGCTGAGTAGAAAAATCAATCCTGTGATTCCCATCCAATCAAATCACACATAGAAAGTAAACTGCATTACACTTCATAAATGCAGCAAACTATTTGGAAGCATCAAAAGTGTCCAAAATTCAATTCAATTCAATTCAGCTTTATTTGTATAGCGCTTTTACAATGTCGATTGTGTAAAAGCAGCTAGACATAAATGGTAATAGTAACTGGAACGGGGTAGCTCAGTTTTTAGTGTTTAAGTTCAGTTCAGTTTAGCTCAGTTCAGTGTGGTTTAAAATCATTACTGAGAGTCCAAACACTGAAGAGCAAATTCATCGATGCGCAGCTCGACCGATCCCAAACCATGCAAGTCAGTGGCGACAGCGGAGAGGGAAAAAAAAACTTCACAGATAGGAGAGTGAAGAAAAAAACCTTGAGAAAAACCAGACTCAGTTCGGCACGACCATTTTAATTTCTCCGCTGTGAGTTTGGTGTAAAAACAAAATGGATAACAGAAATACTGATGATCCTATATGATATTCAAACATATACTTTAGAGTCATAAACATGCAAAGCTTTTACACTCTGAGGTGTTGTGGAATGTGCATAAAAATATTCCACCTGGTATTATGTTATTGATCTGATCAGAAGTGCTCAGCTAAGATGCATTACAGATCATTTAATCTGAATAAGTAAACAATTGTTAAGTTTTTTTTTTTTGCTGGCTATGATTAACCCATGATTGTTATTTCCATGATCCACTAATTGAGCTTCACTACAAAAAATCTTTTTATTGTTCTTTTGTTGTTGTTGTTGTTGTTTTAAACATTACTTTCAAATTCTAATTCTGTTTTGTTGAGTGAAAATTGTTGGCTTTTCGCTTAAGTGTTAAGGCAGAAAGGTTGTTCCACATGACTGCTTTGTTTCTGGAAATGATTTCCACAAAACATCTCACTTTTTCCTTTATATAACATTGATGATTACGAATGAGCATTGCCTGTTTATGGCAAATCAAGGGCCAAATGATTGGAGTGAATATGTGTTCTACGGTCAGTAAAACGTTGTATTGCGGAGGGTAAAGCAGATGTTTGGTGCTCTGGGAGTTGCTGAGTCAGACTCCATTAAACAGTGCCTAAACACACTGAAACCTCTAAAAATGATCTCCAGGGAGGGGAGAGAGTGTGGGAGGCCAGTATTTGTGCTTATGGAGCATCCAGAGAATGAAATGTTCAACTCTCGCCGTGTGCGTTTGCTCGCGTTTGTGCAGGTAAAGTCATAATTCAATCCCAGCAGGAGGTTGGTTCTCATCTATCCCTGGATGTGTGTGAGCATGTACTTGTCTGTAGGTGTTCTGGAAGGCAAAAGCTAATTTACTGAAACAAGCCACTGAAGACAAGAGAGTGTTTGTCTTTGTCTCTGGGATGCTTGAATGGCACCACAGAATCATCGTTCTGTCTCTAAACACTTGCCTGCCATCCTTTGATTTTTTTTTTTTCACTCTTTATGTTCATGCATAGAGTGTAAAGCAGACCTTTGGGATATGACTCTGAAAACAAAGCTAAAATTACCAACAATTTCGTGATTACATGAATCTGCCAACAATGTAATATGCTGCAGTTTCTAGGTGATAAGAACATTAGAGTTAGTAAAACGCTAACCTATTTTACACAAATTATGATTATGGAAAGATTAGTGATAATTAAAGTCCTACAAAATACTATAGAAAGATCTCAAGTCTTTAACGATTTACATGCTGCATCACACATCTCTGTATGACTTTTTTATTTCATTTGTTTATTTAATTATTTCAATTGATTAGAGATGCTTGGTGACTTTTTTTTTTTACCTTTTTCAAAATTAATAATTCAATTAAATCTGAAAATGGAATCTAAAATAAAATTAAACTGGAAAATAGAAATAGATAAATAAAACAAATTTTATAGGACACTGTAGCTCACCTGATGCAACTCACAACTTGTTATGTGAGCCTTCAAAACATGGTAGCCATGTTGGGTTGGGGAATAATGTGAAATTTTATGGCTACTGGTTTTCAGTATTCTTCAGAAGCTCTTCTTTTTTGTTTTTAAAATAGAGGAGAGAAAATCAAGCAGGTTTGTAACACATGGAGGATGAGTAAATGAGGATTTTTTTCCCCCAGTAAAAATCACTTGGGTAACTTTACTTTTTAAAAAAATAGTAAACCCCTTTGCTATTAAAGAGATTACTTGATTTTTATTAAAGTAAAAATAGGCTTTTAAGACTTCCTGCCTTAAAATTAAATAAATGACCTATGTGCATAATTATAAATATTTAATTTAATGCAAGTTAGGTCAGCTCAACAGTTCCAAGTTTAAAAGGGTTTATTTACTTTTAACTAAAGTCAACTTGAAACTTGCAACAGGTTTTTACTATGTATAGGTGTAGAAACCCTTTTAAACTCCCCCTACCCCTTTAAACTTTTAGCACCATTTCTGAGCTGCCCATCCTCTTTTGGTGGATGTTTTATCTGGAAAGTGCAGGAAATAAATACTATAGATTTAGCAGAAACAGAAGCAGTCACAAATATTTCCAATAAGCCTGTTTGAAAATTACTTGCCAAAATGCCCCAGAAAAAAAAAAGATTTGAATATATTTTAATGGTTTGATACTAAGAAATTCACAAGCTCAGCAAATAGTTCCTCTGAGGTGCCTCTAAATGCCTGGTACCTCGTAAGCTTTTCTTCGTTTCCTTTGTTTCCTTGGCAATTTCGAAATCTAATTAAAACATATGTCTGTTTTTGCAGAGAAATATCCCCATGACAACAGTTTATTAGCATTTCATTATTCTGACTGCAAATATATGAACTATGAAGGTGGTACTTCGAGGTTGAATTTCTCACGTGAAATGTCCTAGGAAATGTATGGTCAAGGATAAACATCTGTTTATCTGAGTTGTTTATAGCTTATAAAATAGTTTCTTTTTTTACACCAAGGTTTCTCACCAAGGCTGTATTTTTTAGACTTTTATGTGAAATATTATGGTTTCAAACAAGTGTTTTATATCTGAATAATTTTAAAATGTAAGTTATCATGTGATGGCAAACCTGAACTTTGTGGATCATTTCTGAAGTGTCCAGTGTCATATGATCCTTCATAAATCAGTATTTTGATTTGCTGCTCAAAAAACGTTTACTATTTTGATCAGTTTTGAAAAAATATTGTTTAGTTGACATTTTTAAAGTACTGTAGAACATTCATAGGAACATTTATTTTTAAAACCAAAAACTCAGTTATGATATCTTTACTGTCACTTAGATCAATTCAATTTACCAAAAAAGACTAAACAAAACGTTTTTAAATGAGTACACCCCTCATAGATCTCTCTTTTAAATTTATAGTTTCTATAGGATGCTTTACAATAATAGAATAGTGCAAATCCATTAGATTAGTCAATACCAAATCTGGAACCAATCTAACAAAAAAAAAAGCTACAAATCACAGTTCAAAAATTAGCACACCCAAATTATAATTATTAGATTTTAAATATTTAAAAACAAATAATAATGTTAAGCAGTAAAAATCAAGAGAAACAAAAATGTTACATTTAGTTAAAGTATAGTAGAGCAAACGCAGTGGGTAGCACAATCGCCTCATAGCAAAAAGATCACTGGTTCGAGCCTCGACTTGGTCAGTTGGCATTTCTGTGTTTGCAGGTTCTCCCCGTGTTCGCATGGGTTTCCTCCGAGTGCTCCGGTTTCCCCCACAGTCCAAAAACAAGTGGTATAGGTAAATTGGGTAAGCTAAATTGTCCATAGTGTATATGTGTGTATGGATGTTTCCCAGTACTGGGTTGCAGCTGGAAGGGCATCCGCTGAGTAAAGCATTTGCTAGATAATTTGGTGGTTCATTCCGATTTTGCGAGCCCTGATTAATAAAGGGACTAAGTCGAAAAGAAAATAAATGAATGAATAGTTGAAAAAATCTAACTCAAAGATAAATGATCATTTCTGCAAAAACATGCAGTTTCTATGTAAATGAATACCAGACACAGTAAAAA